AAATTTTCATAATTTTGTTTTACCATTGATAGAACTCCATTTGTGTAAATGTACCACATTTTCATTATCCACTCATCAGTTGAAGGGCACTTAAGTTGCTTCCATCTCTTAAGCTATTGTGAAAAGAGCAGCAATAAACATGGATGTACAAGTGTCTCTGCAATAGGATGAGTACTTTGGGTATATGGCAAGGAGTCATATAACCAGATCAAATGGTAGGTTCATTTTTTTTATGTGTATGAGTGTTATGCCTGCATCTAAGTAAGCGCACCCATGTCATGCAATGTCTGCGGAGGACAGAATAGGCTGTCAGAGCCCCTGGAACTGGAGTTATGGACAATTGTTAGCTGCCATGTGGGTGCTGGGATTCAAACCCCAGTCTTCTGCAAGAACAGTGTTTTTAACCACTGAGCCATCTCTCCAGCCCCTCATTTTTGGTTTTTAAAGGGTTCTCTACACTACTTTCCATAGGAGTTGCACAAGTTTGCAATCCCACCAGCAGTGCATGAGTGTTCCCCTTTCCCCACATCCTCTCCAACATTTGGTATCATTTGTTCTCTTGATCTTAGCCAGTCTGACTGGGGTGAGATGAAGTCGTAAAGTGGTTTTAATTTGCACTTACCTAATTGCTAATTATGTTGAACACCTTTTAAGATGTTTCTTAGCTGGCTTTTGCTTAGGACCCAGGTTTAGTTTCCAGCAACCACATGGCAGCTAACAACTATCCATAACTCCAGTTCCAGGGAATCCAACACCTTCTTTTGGCCTCCATGGGCAGTGAAGCGCAGATACACTTACATATATGCTAGCAAAACACCCATACAAATAAAACAAAATTATTTAAGAATTAAGAAAAAGAAGTTTCTTAGCTGTCTTTATTTCTTCTTTTGAGAATTCTGTTCAGATCCTTAGCTCATCTTTTAATTGGATTCCTTGTTTTCTTGATTCTTTGTTTTTGAGTTCTTTATATATTCCGGATGTTGAAACCTCTGTCAGATGTGTCACTGGTGAAGATTTTCTCCCACTCGATGGGTTTTCTCTTCACTTCCTTGGTTGCTTCTTTTGATGTACAGAGTTGTTTAGTTTAGTGAGGTCCCACTTGTTGATTCTTGACCTTAATTCTTGAACAATTGATGTCCCATTTGCAGAATCCTTCTCTACACCTATATCTTGTAGTTTATTACCAATGTTTTCTTCTAACAGCTTTAGAGTCTCAGGTTTCACATTGAGGTCTTTGATCCATTTGGAGTTGACTTTTGTGCAAGGGAAAGATAAGGGTCTAGTTTCATTTTTCTACAGGTGGAGATCCTATTTTACCAACACTGTTTACTGAAGATGTTATCTTTCTTCCATTGAGTGTTCTTGGCCCCTTTGTCAAATATCAGGTGGCTGAAATTGCATGTACTCATATTTGGGTCTTCAGTTTTGTTCCATTGATCTATGGGTCTATTTTTGTGCCAGCACCACGTTGTTTTTATGACCATAGCTCTGTAATATAGTTTGAAATCTGATACAGCAATCCCCCTAGCATTGCTGCTTGTGTTCAGGGTTGCTTTGGCTATCTGAGGTCTTTTGTGCTTCCATATGAATTTTAGGATTTTTTTTTCTAATTCTGTGAGGAATGCCATGAAGATTTTGATTGGGATTGTACTGAGTGTATAAATGGGTTTTGGTAGGATGGTCATTTTCACAATATTATTTCTTCCAATCCATGAGCATGGAAGGGCCTTCAGGCTTCTTCTGGTGTCTTCCTCAATCTCTTTTGTTAAAGAGTTTTAATTTCATTCTAAAGATCTTTAATGCCAAGACCAGGTTTCTAAAGGTCAGGTTTATTGTGAGATTTTTTTGAGGCTATTGTGAATGGGAGGACTTCCATGTGCTCTTTTGCCAATTGCTTGTTATTGGTATATAGAAAGGCTGCTGATTTTTTAACGTTTTAAATTTATTTTCTTTCATTTTTATTAGTTCTTTGAGAATTTAATACAATGTATTTTGATCATATTCAGTCCCTCCTCCAACTCCTTCCAGATTCATTCAACCCCAGACCCCTTTGCTACATACCCAACTTTGTCCCCTGATTTTTTTTTAACTTGCTGAGGGTGCTGGAGCGATTGTTCAGTGGTTAAGAGCACTGTCTACTTTTGCAAAGCGCTCACATATAGACTAACAACTGTTCTTAACCCCAATTCCAGGGAATCTGACACTCTTCTGGACTCCCCCGGCCCTTGTGCTCCTGTAGTGTACCTACATTTGCAGGCAAAGCACTCATACACATACACATTAAATAAACAAAAAATGAGTGAATTAATGAATACTATTGAGCCCATTTTGTGCAGCCCATGTACTCTTGAGAGTGTGGCCATCCACTGGAATGTGGTTGACCTACAAAAGGTTATACTTTTTTTTTTTTTTTTAGATTTTTAAGATTTCTTTATTTGAGAAGGCATGGAGACAGGTGAACACCGGGCAGGCCAGGAAGGGGCGGGTCGCTTGCTTCTCAGAATCGCCCTCTGTGCCTGAGGAGCAGCTGGCGGTCACTGTAGGAAGCTGTATCCCGCGCAGCGAAGCCAGTGCTGTGCGCCAAACTCTGGGAATAGCCATGACCTGCTCCTGGCAGGAAGGGAAGGATCGAATCATATTTGTGACCAAAGAAGAACATGAAACTCCCAGCAGTGCAGGGCTGGTGGCTGAAGATCCCAACCATACGTGGGGCCCAGTGGAGTCATTAACTGGGATTGCCCGTGCCTTGGGGGAATGGCCAACGGCCCCTGTGGAGAACAGTTCAAGTCTGCCTTTTCCTGCTTCCTCTTCAGCACAGAGGAAATCAAGGGATCTGAGTGTGTAGAACAGTTCGTCACTATGCAGGAATGCATGCAGAAATACCCAGACCTCTATCGCGAAGAAAACGGGGAGGAGGAGGTGAAGGCAGCGGATCCGGAGGAGGAAGCAGCTTCCGCTGAGACCTCTGCAGCTGAAGAGCGGGGCTCCTGAAGGCCACAGACCCTGGCTGCCGCCGGTTCGCTCAGAACGACAGGACTTTAGCCCAATACCCTTCAGTCGTTTGCCACGAAGGTGTCTTTTTCCCTGTTCTGTGCTCTGTAGTGCACAAAATAACTTCTTTTGGTGATCAGCCGCCTTGGCTGCTTGCCACATACACATGAGTGCTGCATAAACCTGTGGGTGAAAGCGCCACTGCTGAACTGTCTTCTCCGAATGTCCCGGATCTTGCCACTCTGAAGTAATGTGCCGAATACGCTGAGCAACCAAAATCGCTATTCAATAGGAGTTTCTTTCGGGTAAGCTGATTTATTCTAATCCGTCGTGTCCCTTTTAGTAGACTGTACACCTCTTTTGGAAATTAAGAGTGCTGGAGTGGGTCCATTCCTAAAAGAAGAGGCCAGAGGTTAGATTCTTGCCTGGGAGTGCAGGGCGGGGCAGACTACTGAGCTTCATTCCTGCACATTTGGTTTCTGTGTTTGAAGTGTGCTCCAGGCTCTAAGATGTGGCCTTTGGAAGGTGGAATCTGGAACCTGTGACACGCCCCTATCCCCGCTAAATTCCTGCCTCAGTGAAAAGAAAGGCTGGTTTTGCTCTTCAGTGTTTTACTGTTCTGGAAGCCCTCGTTGGGGCACAAGTTCACGGGGGCTCAGTGTACTCAGTTGTAATAGTCAAGAGAGCTGGGGACCTAAGTGTTTCCAGAGCAGCAACCAGGAGAGGAAATGGTCTGAACGAAGTATTCAATTAAAAGGAAATGTGACTTTTACCTGACAAAATATTTATTTTTATTATATGTGTATGAGTGTTTTGCTTACATGTGTGAAAGTGTATGCAAGTACACCACCTGTATGCAGTGCCCACAGAGACCAAAAGATGGTGTCAGATTCCCTGGGACTGGCATTACAGAGGACTGTCAGCTTCTGAGGGCCACACTTTTTTTTCTTTTCAGGGTTTTTGAGACAGGGTCTCCCTGTAGCCCCAGTTGGCCTGGAATTGGCTATGTAGATGAGATCTCCATCTCACAGAGATCCACCTAGCTCTGCCTCCCAAGTGCTGGGGTTAAAGGCATGTGCCACCATGCCCTGCTGAGGGCCACACTTTTAAAGAAAACTGATTGTCCCTCTCCCAGTAGTCATCAGTTGCCAATAGTACTTCAGCTAGGTGTGGGACATCATGTCTACCTTCCTTTACCCTGCTGGGATTTTGTCTTGAGCTTGCACAGGTCTTGTGCATACTGTCATAACCACTGTGAGTTCATATGTCCACCTTCCTTCTTGTATCCAGAAAACACTGTTTCCCGGTGGTCATCCACTGCCTCTGGCTCTTACACTCTTTCTGCCCCATCTTCCACAGTGATCCCTGAACCTTGGGAGGAGAGGGTGTGATTTAGGTGTCTCTTTTAAGACTAAGCATTCTACATGTGGTCTCTTATTCTCTATACCTTGAGCAGTTGTGGGTCTCTGTGTTAATTGCCATCTACTGCCAAAAGAAGCTTCTCTGAAGAATGTTGAGAGATGTGCTAATCTACAGTTATAATGGTAAGTCATTAGGAGTCGGTTTAAAACTATGTCTATTTACCAGAATAATAGTAGTAGATTCTCCCCTAAGGCCTGTGACCTGTCTAGCCAGAGGTTCTTGGTCACAGTAATGGTACCAAGTATATGTTTCATCTTATGGAGTGGGCCTTAAATCCTATCAGAAAGTGATTGGTAACTCTCATGACATTTGTGCTATGGGGTCCACAGCTGAGCAAGTCGATAGTTACTTTTCTCCTCCAGTAGTCTGAATAGCATCTTCCAGCACTATGAAAGCTAGATAGTAGAGATGAAGCTTCCAGGTCAGTACCAGCTTGATTTCTCCATGTTTCATGATTCAAGTATGTGGTATCTGCAGCAATAGGGTCTTACTGTCAAGTTCTGGAGGGTTTGAGGAGCATTGGCAACAGCGTGAATGTTTGGAGGTCTGTGGGCCCTCACTAACCAACATCTCCAAGAAAGCTAACCTATTCCTGACAATGGGCTTTTTAATCGTTAGACTGTGGTGACTAGTTGGGGCATTGTCACCCTGTTTATGGGGTAACTCCATTTAAATTCTTTACAGATAGAGACGGAGATGGAGATATACATACAGATATATTTTATGAAGCTTCTGCCTCTACCCTGTCCACCCATCTCCACCCCATTTAATGCTTACTGTTCCATTATTCGCCTTTATAGCACTGAATTCTATCTTTCTTCCCATGAAAGCCCCCAACCCCATGGCCCCTTATTAATTTTCTGACCTCTGTAGGTACTCCAAATGAAGCATACATATCTAAAGATTCAAAACTGATAACGACTAATGACAGAACACATGCAACATTTGTCTTTCTGGGTCTGGGTTACCTCAATTAGAATTATCGTTTCCAGTGCTCTCCATTTAGCTGCCATTCCTTAGTTGATGGACATCTAGGCTGTTTTCATATTCTAGGTATTGTGAATAGAGCAGTAATGAACGTGGATAAATAGGTATGTCTGGTGGGAATAGAGAGTCCTTTGGGTATATGCCCAAGAGTGGTTTAGCTGGATCATGTGGTAGACCTTTTCTAGCCTTTTGTGGAATCTCCACATTGATTTCTATAATGGCTGCACCAGTTCACACTGCCACCAGCAGTGAATAAATGTTCACTTTTCCCCATAGCCATGCCAGTATTTGTTATCATTTGTTTTTTTTTATCTTAGCCACTCTGGGGCAAGATGAAATCTCAAAATAGTTTTAATTTGCATGTCCCTGATGGCTAAGGATGTTGAAAAACTTTAAGTATTTCTTAGAAATTTGTAGTTCATCTTTTTTGTAATTTAAATTTTTGAGACTTTCGTACATGAGTACTGTATTTGCGTCATTTCCATCCCTTCCTCTCCTCCCATGCTCCCCACCACTCCCCTGACTCCCTCTCAACTTCCTGACCTCTTCTTTAATTATTGTTGTTACATATATACATATCTTGTGATCTAGTCTCTGCCTTATAGTTTTGAGGACTCATGCATCTTCTAGAACAGTCTGTGTGCCCTCTTCTCCCATGTAAGATTGTTTAGAGATATTGAGCTGAGTCTTAGAGCGCTGAAATGTGTTTGATGAGCTGTGAGCCCTGGTATGGGACTGTAATTGCTCAGAGAAAGGGTTTCTGTCTCTTGACCCTGAGATGCCAGTGAGCATCTAGTGTAAGTCATCAGGGATGTGTCAGGGAAAGATAACATTTTCTTCCTAGAACAAAGGCGCTCTGTGAGTTGGTAGAAATCTTCCCATAGCGGACTGCTTTTATATTTCTCAAATCTCAGCTTCAGTGTCACCTACACAAAGAGGCCTTCTTGGACTTCAATCATTTTCTATCTCGACGGTATCCTGGCTACTTCCTTTATAGAACTTACCACCATCTGTATATAGAGAACTGCTATTCTGTCTTTCTCACTGTAAGCTGCATGAGAACGGAGACCTTGTTCGTATTACCCAACACTGTGTCCCCAGCACCTACTACACCATCACACCCTGAGAAGTGTGTGACAAAGAAGTGAGACAAAGAATACACCTCCCTCCCAAGGAAAGAATGCAAACGGAGGTGGAGCCTAGGTTCCTGCTTTGCTCTGGTGCACTCTGCATTAATGAATGACACCACAAAATCTCTGTGCCACAGGTCAAAGTCAAGCTTGTCCAACATTTCTTTAATGTAGCAGGAACACATCAGCACCTGACGGCGATTTACAAACTTAAACGTAACTTACTCTTCCCCTCCTTTTCAAGCTTCCCCTTGAGTAGAACTGCTGCATATTCTTAATGCGCTGTCTGAAGATCACCACTAGATGGAGTAGTGTGGCTCTGTTTCAGAGCAGATACTTGGCTTTGCTTCAAGGGGAAGAAGACAAAAATCATTACAGGTTTCCCCTCACACACCCCCTTGACTATTCTGACTTCAGATAGTCCCATTTCAAGACCGTGACCAACGAAGTTCCTTCAGGAAAGTTCTAGTTCTGGTTTATTTTTCGTGTCCTAGGTTGACAGTAAAAGCACACCTACCTTAAAAGCTTCCCTCACCCCTCCTAACCTACCTCCACATCACAAAGCTCCACCAGATCCTCTTATCTTTTACCATTCTATCTTTTCTTCCTCTGCTTTTCCTGATAATCGTTCTTCCTTAGTTTTCTTATGTGTAAAATTAGGACAAAGGTTGCATCTTCGTGAGGCTGTAAGGAGAAACTGCACAGCAAATTGTACTGATCTCATTTGGTGCATAGTATCTTCTTATATTCTCAAAACAATCTGCTCTAATCCACACAGAAATCGAATCTGCTTTGTTCGAGCAAGCATAGTTACAGTGATGCCTGTTTTCAGAAGTGTGTGTTTTAGAAAGTGAATTATGCTCAAATAGCATTTGCCAGCAGATCCACATGCACAGACACCCTGTCTTATGCTATCCATCATTCTCCAGCCTCTGAGTGAAGTAGAGGGGAAGGTGCAGAAGGGCTGGGAAAAACAGTTTTCCAGGGCCCTCATTAGCAAGTTGTTGTGGACCCAACCAACTTGCTAATTCTTCAGAGGCTGTCATTGCATAGATCCCTGCGGGACAAAGCAGTAGGCCAGTTATCCATGGCAGTGCAAGAATGGGAAGGAAACAAGCAAGGTGATATCTGAGCAAATACAAGCTCACAGAAACAAAACCAAAAATCAAATCATTTAGATGATTGATAGCTAGATGATAGACAGATAAATAATTTATAGATGACTGCTAGACAGATACATAGGTACATAAATAGATGGTGGATAATAGACAATAGAGATGGGATTTTCATTCTCTCTCTTCCAATGGTTAGCATAGGGCTATTTTTATTTTGTTTTTATTTGATTATTTGTTTTTTAAAAGGGTCTCATTATATAGCTCAAGCTTGCTAGAACGCATCATCTTCCTGCCTCGGCCTTTCTAGTGCTGGGATAGCAGATGTACATCACCATGCCTAGCCAGAAGGAGTTATTGACTCTCCTGGCAGGACTATCAATAGAGCCATTGAAGGAGCTCTGACCAAAGAAAATGTAGAGAAGACTCCCTAGGCTGTCTGCCAGGTCAGTTCAGGACACCCCATGCCAGCCATCAAACAACCCCCTTTGCAGTACAGCCCCGGGGCCATGCTCTGGGCTGGTTCGCTTTCAAAAGGCCATTCAGTACTGCTTGCTAACACACTGCCTCATCATACCACTGAGTTACAGAGCTTTCTGGGAGTTAAGAGGGAGTGCAACACATTGTAATGTGTAGCACAACCCTACAGCTCTT